CTAAAATTTGTTGAGTTAAGAGTCAAAAGAAATTAAAAATACAAAATACTAAGTACAATAAACAATGTATGCTAGAATAGATTATATTTATCTTTAATTCCTTACCAAGAGGAAGTGGCCAGCATTTTAGAATCAGGTGAGAATTCACAATAAGATACTGGTCTAGTGTCACCAACCTGACTGCATATGTTAGTCATGTCCTAATAATTAATTAATAGAATTAATGTTTTATCATGACTCAATCACTCGTAGTTTCCTATGCAGTTCTTGTTTCTTTGCAGCTTTTTCCGGTCCGGGTCTTTTAGCCTCTAGCCTTGCCTGAACTAACCTTTCCCTTGCCCTGAAAGACAGTAAATCAATTATAAAAGTAACCATTTAATAATATAATGACAGATCTCTCTAACTAGTTGCTAAATTATTAAGACTACATAGTACAATACTTACTAGTACAATAATACTACATTGTACTTACTTATTATATTAAACAGTTAAAAATGGACTTTAAATAAATACATATACAGTATACTAGCTGATACAAAATACATGTACATGTACAATACTAGTATCCCTATACCTGGGCATGGAGTACTCAGTGATCCAGTATCTAGCTGATAATAGTTCGGCAGTTCCTTCGTGATACCAAACAGAGTCTTCATCAATGGCCTCTTCATTAGTATCCATGGTTTGTGACACCTGCTTCTGCTCTAAACTAACCTTGATACCTCTCTCGGCTAATTAATAATAATTAATTAATGGATTGATTGATTAATTTAAGTACCAAGTTGAGCGACAAGAAGTCTTAGTCTCTCTCTTCTGTCAGCTGGTCCTTCGCCAAACAAACCTGGAAATGGAGGGGAGAGAGAAAAACACATTTATATACATGTATGTATATAGTCTAGCCTCTATATAATGGATACTGTGTCTCTGTTATACAGAGGTGTCCTTTATGTGGAGGTTATTTTATACAGTAAGGATTGTAATTGGTACACTAGGTGCTGTCCATTAAATGGAAATGTACGCTATAGAGAGTGTCCATTAAGAGAGACTATACTATAAACTTACAAATAGGTTGTCCCATTTCTCTTAGTTTTGCTTTCACTTCAGAATCAGACGTTGGAACTACAATAGACCGCACCTATTTATGGGTGGAGAAAGAGGTAGATCATGGAGCTTACAGTTTTTAATGAATTAAAAACTAACCCTTTTCTTCTTTTCAAATTCATCTATCAGTACTTTCTGTCTGT